AGGACTGCAGTGTAAGACTGTGAGTGGGTCTAATAGAGCTGGAGTTTAACAGTGTGAGTGTGTTGAAGACGGGGGCTGCAGTGTAACCCTAACTATGACTGGACTAGGACTGTAGCGACCACTAGAGGACGCCAAAACATGCTTTCAAATTATAAGCAGACCGGAAAGAGGTGATTTGAGGTTTATTTATTGTTGGCTTATTTAGTGAAGCATCAATTCCATTTTTTTAATTTAATTACAGTTGGCAATCATGCGCTCTGAACTTGCTCTTGGTGGCCCATAGGAGCCATAGAGGATTTTTTTCCCCTGACGTGACTCGGGCTCTTCAGTAGCAACCGTTTCCACCTGAAGCAGGCATCCTCAAGTCTGTAAATAGCTGTTATATAAACTTATATAAACTAAATTTGTATTTAAAATCCACAATAAAAAGTTAAACGTGTGGAACCAGTCAATCGCAATAATGGTATATCCTATCCCGGAAGAGGTTTGGACCCCTGAGGCCACCGTACCCGGAAGCCAGACTGGCCAGGACGCACAGCGATGAACGAAGACGCTTACAGATAAACAACTACACGGGAAGAACGAAGACATAGGCGGAGCGCTCTGTTCCACATGGATAGGTACAAATAAGCAAACAAAAAAACTAATCTTAACCTTCAGGGTGCGTCTGATTTCTTTATGAACAACACTAATTTAGAAGTAAAATATGGTTGTGTTTTGCGGGTATGCTAGCGGAACCTCAAGTGTTGCTTGTCAGGAGCTTGCGGGGTGCAAATGGATATATGAACGTGTGTATAATTGAAGTGAGTTAACGTCATTTCATTTTTACCCGCGGTGTACAGTCTAACTTGTCACCGCCCGCGGACCGTAGAGATCCCCCACCCACCTCCCTCATTTAGAAATGGTCTGAAAATACGAATTTTTTTTAAATACAAAATTTCAAATTGTGCAGTTTGCCCTCTTATTTTTAATTAAACCACACAAGTTTCTGATGTGGTTTTGTGTGCTCGGTGTAATAGGTTCGAATTCCTGTCCGTGAGCAATTATTTTGCAGTGAAGGCGGTGAATTACCTGTTGCGTGCAGGTGCGTCTGTAGTGAGCCTGTATCCCCATGATGAACAGGTACAGGACCTGGAGTGCACACTGCTAGTTTGACCAACTGGGCGTTGACTAGCTTAAACCCAGAAGCACACTGTGTGTAAGCTTTCTTGGTAAAAGTTAAGGCTCTTACATTAGTTCCTGTTCCTTTTTCT